AATAGTGTGCAATCAACAAGTTTTGAACCACTTTCAGGCCTTTGAAAACGGCGAGTTCTCCGGAATGTTGGCCAGAATAAAGATTCCCACCTAACAACTTCGAGAAAGAAGCAAAACTAACGATATCAAGTACAACCAAAATGCTGAGGTTTCAAGATGAGGGAACTTGGAATTTAATGCATAACTGTGTTCAGGAAAGTTCTAGCATGCGAGAATAAGGGGTCAGAAGCTATAGAAGGAATGTGGTCAAATCCTCATAGTAGGCGAGGGGTAGGAGGGGCTAAGATCAAAAACTTACAATTCTCCTCAGAGACCGAACTGCCCCAAAGTCCCATGTTCTTCTATATGTGATGTCATCATCACTACTCACTACCTATAGGATCAGTTTAGGATGGGTGGAACCTAGAAAGTGAGGCAAGAGAACCTTCCAAAGAGCGGAATACACACCGGAACGGGTGTGCGGTGAAGAGAAATTCATGATTTTCTCCAGAAAGGCTCTGACACTGGAAAAAAATGGTCAATGCTTGGGAATGGGTCAACGTGAGCGGAGCTCTCGTAAGGTGAGCGGTATCTCATACATGATATCATAACCTACCACAGCCTATAAACAGATTCTTGTATAGTGGAGCTGAGATTAAAAGTTTACATTCCTGTAAGATTGGTCTTTGTCGTAACGCACGCGTTAGTGTGCGGAGCCCATCAGGTTACATCATAACAGCTTTAGTATTTTATTAATTATCAAAGAAAATTAGCCTATTTTGTTGCTCATAATTTCAGAATCAAGTGATGCTATCTACAGAAAGCCTAATGGCAACCAGGCCGTCCCTTCTAGTTCATTGAGTCAGCTGTATTAAAACTCCCTCATGTCTGCTTACTGAATGACAACGGCTGACCTTATATTGTCCAATATTAGCAGGCCGCCAGAACTCTCCATTCGCATACGTGGTTACAATTTTCATGCGATCATCGATACTCACAGTGACGTTCAGCAGCCCTTGACCAGTATCTGCATCAACGACTGTTCCATGAATCGCTCTAGAAAAACCAGTTCCACAAAGGACGTAAGGTGATTTTTACCTGAGCCATATCCGGAAAGTTGGTCATTCTGACCCCCCAACTTTGTAGGGCTAGTGAGCTTCCACCTACGACTACGAAACATTCCTACAAGCTGTGCAATTTTTTCCTCAAAAGATCTCTGACACCTAATGTATTGCAAAACCGGGGAATGAGTCGAGGTTCTTACTCTTCTTGCAATCTCGAGATTCTCCGCTGAAGAAACCGATTTGACATTCTAGCTAAGACATGTAAATCTCTGATACATTCAAGGCGGCGAACGTTTTTTTCGTCCGACACCTTTGACTCACTTGTGAATTTGCTCAATGAAGTACAGGAGCGGATACTTATTTTCATCCCACAGCGCTTTCAACTCGTTTCTTGGAGGATATTTGACACAATTCAATTCGATAGTCAGTTCGAAGCAGTTCGTGTGCAAGTAGTTCCAATCCTGCATTCCACCAGATACAATGTACCTGAACTACTATTGCTTGATTTGTATCACTGAGTTAAGAAACGACAGTAAAAAGACGAACCAGTCTGCTCCGTTCACTATTCCATTCTGTGGCTCTGTAGCTAAGTTCAAGTGTTCGTTCAGACATCGTGGGCCCTACGAAAGTAGAGATGTAGGGGAAAACATTTCTGGATGCGGCGAACACTCTTTAAAAGCTATTTCGAGATAATTTTCAGTCTTTTCAGTCTTGGGTAGATATGAAAAGTTACTTTATTTATTCTATTAAAAAGCATGTGAAACACATGTGAGCGTAGTGTAAACACAAAAAACCAATCAACCGAAACAGAAACATAAAAGGGAACATCCGGTAAATCATATAATCATGATAAATCTGCAACATGTTTTCTGAAAGTGGAGTGCTTCAATGGGAACAAATTGGAGCGCAAAAGAGAATTAAAATTTGTGCGAACTCTGTGAGCAAAAAACTTAGATCTGCATTGAGTCCTAGCTGTAGAAGTAGATAATCTTATTGAAGCACCTCTAGTATTAGGCGGCAACACGTGAAAAAATCTGAAACATCGATATTTACAAGGTTTCTTTTATTATTTTATATAAGTCATCAGCAAATCATATCGTATCCTCCTCCATTCAAGTGTTTCAAGACCAAGGTCGGCATTCCTTGTGCTCCCATTAGGTATGTCAGCGTAGCGAAAGCCCGAACACCAGAGCATCAGCTTACGGGTGAAGTTATTAGTTAGCTATGCACGCTTTCAAGAGCCCGAATATCGTTTTTAGCGTACGGATTGAAAACTGAGGACCTATATTCCAAAATGGGGCGCACATAGAGTTTGTATGCACGAAAAAGAACGTCCTGATTCTTCGAACGAGGGGCCTCGAACAGATTGAAGGAACGACGATTGCCTTTTGTGACCAATACATTGCAGTGCTTCTAAAAATTTAACCGATAATCATAGTAAAAACCAAGATCGCGAACTTCCGAACTGATTTTAATACACGATCTGCCACCGTGTAATTACACGATCTGCCACCGTGTAAACAGGACTAACAGAATGAGAACCAATCTGCATAACCTCAGTTTTATCGGACGACAAGCTGAGACCATTTGCACAGCCCCGTCACGATCTTATCAATTGCCCGTTGAACAATGGGGTCAGAACTGGAATCATTAGCCACCTTGAATATTTTTATATCATCAGCAAATACGTCAAGATTTTGAATGCATGGGGAAGGTCAGCAGTATATTATAGATGTTGAACAGATCAATAAGAGGACCGCACCCTGGGAAACCCCACTGGTAGCAACTTTAACACTGGAAGGGGAGTCCCCAACGAGATCCTGGAATGTTCTATTAGTCCAATTCCTAAAATCCTGAATCCAATTAACCACCAAGAGGTGCACACCTATATGCTTCAACTTACAAATTAAAATCTTATGCGACACTTTGTCAAAAGCTTTACTGAAATCAAAAAAGATAACATCCACATCTTTCCCCGAACCAATCGCACTTGTCCATGAGTTCATGCAAGACAGCAAAGATTTCTCTTGAAGTTTCTTATCAGGTTTCTCTTCAGCTTTTTGAGAAGAGATGAGACACTCGTGGTGCTACTGTTTGAACCCACAAGAAACTCGGAAGCGGTTTCAAAAGGAAGCATCAGAAGTCAGAATAGAAAGAGCAGGTCATGCACTCTTGTTACCATATAAGTTAGTTCGCTTGTTAAGTAGCTCGGACTATGAACAAGAAGGTGTCACAGGTGTCGTTACACCATAAAAAGATTGGAAGCACTTGTAGGCCAGCTCAGCTGTAAAAATATAGCAATCGGCAGCGATTATGCTATTTCCTCTTAATGTTAGTCCTAGGATAGAAACACTGAGATTAGTCCTAGGATAGAAACACGGAGATTTCCCTCTGAAGAGCTCGCGTTTGACTCTTGATGAACCTTTCGACGATACACCTTGTAGTGCCGCATCGACATCTTGGCCGAAGCTCCAGATGAATACCTACTGAATTCTACAAGGTACTATGCACATGTGTATTGAACGTCTGTTCTGACAATACTCTCGATTCATGTGTCAATTCAACTTGTCAAAATGATCGGCAGCAAGGTCTGCACGAAGCTTACACAAGGTGGACATTTACTACCTGTTTATTCATCCGGTCATGAACTTTCGAATAAGAATAAGCAAGTCTGACGAATAGCTCGTTATCCGGAGACGGAGAATAACGACGTGAAGCTGTTCTAGTCGGATGGTCATCAAATGGATAGTTCACTGAAAAGGAGTGCCATGTTGTTTATCGGCAAAGAGCACTGCGGGCGACCGATCGGCAGTGTTGCTGGCCACGCGTTGGCAACACTGAATACCATCGATATCGCACGTCGGCGTGATCCAGCTCTGCCTACGCGTGGCCAGCAACGTTGGAAGCCGATCGCACGTCGGATGAAACAACGAATATCGCTGAATTCTGAAAGCGCTCAGACAGGTACTTTGACGGATCATTTATATTTCATGTGCGGTGGGGATTTCATAACAGTGCATTAGATATCGTGAGCGTCAGCGTAATTTGTCGAAGGTGAACTGTTGAATTAGTACATGCGGTCATTTCTTACGTCAATCTTTTTCACATGCGAGCGGCAAACGTTTAATATTCTTGCTAGAACCGGCATACGAGAATTTCTTAAGTATTCACATTCTTGTTTTGAAATAATACAAATCGCACCAAAACTGTTACGCCATAACTCCACTGGCTCTTCATCAGTGGCTCGTACTAAATGTGTGAGCCAATATTTCTTTTTAATTTTTTAACTTTTCCACTCAAACGACTTACCTAAAGTTGTCCCCCCATGCAGGCTAGCTGACAAAATGAAAGGGATTGACTTCGTCCATTTCATTACTGCTATTGTTTCTGGTTGGATTTGCTCCGACGGGAAGAAATTGGGAAATCTGGAGACTAGTGTGGTAAACTGATCTGTTCCTAATATCTTAGAATTCGCTAATTGTATCTCCATTTCTTTAGGTTTTGCCCACCTGCTGGGGAAGTTCCTGTTCAAGTCTTTATTGTTGGCATTCGTCCTTCCGTATATACCTGCATCATCGCCTTCATGAGCAATTTCATACCTGAAGAAAATGTTGTCCTTCACAACTCTTCATATGAAGAATGTGTACTAGTCGACTTTCTTGTGATCCTTCTAAAGGCACAGTTCACGATAAAAATGGTCTCTGACTTCTCCTTCGAAGAATACCCAGTGGCCCCCAAGGGTATCAGGAAGGATGCTGTCGGGTCCAGAAATAACAGCTATGGCATAGTGGGAGTCCGTCACTGGATCGCTCGGCATCCCCGCCCTCCGACCGATGGAGTGTCAGACGAGTGTTGAGGCGATACAGAATGCAATATTTGCCCCAGGACCCTCATGCTCAGCACGCAATCAGCTGATCGCCGAGCGATGGGTTTTTCTCCTATTCCATTATTCTCTGTCATTCTTTTTGCTGCCGCGGCCCTTGTTTAATTTCTACCCCGAGAGGATTTATTCGCTGTTATTATCAAGGGGATCAGGTAGGTATTTTACGAATTTGAAGGTGAAAATGTAGATGGGTGGGAGGGGGGAGGGATGCCAGCGCCTTTTTGTGCTCAGCGTCTCTGACACCAGACCGCACAGTGCATATGGGCCGTGCTAGAGGGAGGAGATCCGGGGTGGGTGAGCTGATTGTTTCGCTGGGCATCAAGCCATCTCTGCTCTTTAGCGCGATCTCTATGCACTCTGCCGTCTGGTGCCAGAGACGCAGAGCAGAGGTCAGCTCACCCAACCACTGCTTTCACGCCGTTTTTTCTGTGTGAAGCTCGTCCGACCCCCCCCCCCCCCTATTTTGCTACTTTTTTTGAAACCTGTATTTCTTTTTGTACGCCGTTTTCACGCTTTTCTCGTTATATTCGCACTACTCCAGACTTCACCTTTCATTATCCGCCAAAACCGGGTACCCAAAAATTATCGTGAACAAAGCCTTTATAACCTAGCAGGCAACCTGTCGTATGTTTAACTATTTTACTCACCCATCTGGATTCATTGTTGGCAGGAAATGAATTCGTGTAGTGTCGATGAGGTTTTTAATCCATCTATTACTGCGGTAGTTATAAAGCAAAGTCCATGCCAGTCCTAGTAGAAATACTCGGCCTGATACCTTAATAGTCCCATTAATGATATGCATTTCAGTGATAATTGTTCCCTTTAGTCTACCAACAATAGCAAAAATCCACGCGTGTTATAATTTGCCACAGAATAAACAGGAACTCACTTAAGGTATCTTATTCTTATTGACCATAACTTGCCTTAGAATAACCAGAAACGCTTTTGAGGTGTCTTATTTCTTAACAGCACTAGCAACTCCCCCAATGATGAGGTTTCATTTCCTTGCGAGTAAAAGAAGCTTGAAAGATCAGGACCTTCTATCAATCAGAGGTCAACGGCACAAAGTTCTCTCACATGTCACAACAGCAATACTAGTTCAACTACTTTTTCTTGAAAAGATCAGCAAAAAATCCAGTTTTCGATCTCCACTATATAAATGTCAGAATTTCTCTTAAGTAAATCCATCTAATTGATCGTGGATCCATCCGAATGCGGCAGTCGCGGACCTGTTATCTCCCTATTGCAGTTTTAGCATTCTTTTTAACTCGATCGATATGCGATTCTTGCTTACTTTTCCTACTGTTACTTCTTTTGTTCTTGCACTCCTTAATCCCTGCGTTGCTTCTGCTTCGTTCCGCTTCATTCCTTTGTGCGCGACGTCGTCTCGGGAAAGGTGACCATTTCGATTCATTTGCACCACAACCTTGACCAGCGGGAAGTAGTATTTTGACTTCTTGATTGTGATTCTTTTCAAAAAATCACAGTCGTGATGTGTATCTGTGACGAAAAGCGAGAAAAGCCCAGATGTGGACAATACGGCAGCGTGACAAATAGGCAGACCGAAGTCTTTTCCATATGGAGCTGAAGATATGTAGGTTGCAACTTCAGCTACCTTTTATATCAGATCAATTCCCCGCAATCATAAAGCAAATTCTGAAAAAAAGCAATCTGACAATAACGCCTTCTTCGCTATCACGTCAGTGGACGACATTGATCACAATTTTTTTTCTCAGAAATCGCCAACGAGATTGGATTCGCATCGGAGAAAACTGCGTCTTCTGCCTTTATGAGAGGGTTTTGAAGTGTGCGCGAAGTGCTATCGATTATCAGCTTCATTGACTTACGTGTAAAAGAACATTTGGCTAGTAAAAAAGGAGAAGTTCGACTGCATCGCTCGGCAATCACTGAAGTGAGATCAGCTATGGTATCAACATTAAATGCTCGATTCCGCCCTAACCATATTTGTGCTAGGAAGACCTTCGACCCATTCTGGATAAGGCACCAAAGTTCACGCGTGATCAACTAGAATGAGTGAACCGACATGATTCGTAATCACTTGCTTTATATCTTACTGAGTAAATTTCGCTTAAGTGAAACAGCACACCTGGCGTCACAACCCCTTAACGGTGAGTGTGCGACCGCTCAAACTAGTTTGCTCGATTATCCCTGAAGTTGAACAAGCATCTAGTGTTGGTACAATTGATGCCCGTTGTCAAGATTCAAACACCCTTTGAATATCGTTGGTCTGGGTTGCTACTAGGTGGGATTTGGTCTTTGTCAAGCATGATCAGTAATATTCAATAATGGCTCGAGGAGCCTTCGAGCTCCTGGAGATGATGAATTTGTCGAAAGCATCACAGGCTTAATGTTCCGTTATAAACCAAGTGTGCGACCCAGGAGCACTGTATACTCTCATAACAACTATTGCCAAGGTCATAGAAAAGGCGATCAGGTAGCAACGGCGATTGTTTCTCGTTCTCAAGACAAAGGGTGCACGACCTAAATCGTCATTTTTAGATGACTTCCCCAAAGATTTTGTTCCTTTCTTTCTCTCTGCGGAACCTACGATCTGAGGTCATCGTTAACTAGTGCCATTATGTGTGTTTTGGAAAGGATCGTTTTCCGTCTCAGCGGGGTGAAAGGGGCAGATTAGGTATGCGACCCCTCAAACTAGAACTATTTAGTCACCTCATTGCCATGCATATTTGCAATGTATTTGAATTCTGGAACTCCAATTTCATGCTTTCGAGGATACTTCGATACTGTTAGCACCCATAGTTGGCGTCCACGAACGGAGCTTCCAATGGAATAGAGATGGGTGAGATTTGGGTATCTGTCAGCCAATGCCTTAACGGAAATATTCAGCAGTAAAAACAGTTGTCTTCATCATGTTTTATCACCCGTACTTACGTGCAAGTAGTTCGTCATGGTAGAGTGATTCATGTGCGTAAGTAGTGGCTCCTCAAACTCCCCGATCTCCTTGATGAGTTGCGTCCTTGAATATACATCCCCTTGCCGTTCGAATTTGCCTATCAGTTCCTGAATTATCGATCACTGACAATCGAATGAAATGATTCTTCATGCAATTTGTCCTGACACAAAATTCGAAACGGTTTCGTTCGCCTTCGGCCGAATGCTTCCTCATTTATAATTTTCAATCGTAACTGATTTCCTACTTGACGTAATCATGCGGAATTTCGATATGTGTAACATGGGTGTATTGTGAATATTTACCACCATCAACTTGCAATTTGATCATGTTCCAGATATCTCAAAGAGCCTGGAGTCAAAATCAACTGGAAATACAGATGATGGTCCGTCTGGAAGTTCTTCCCTTTTTGCCATGTTTAACCGCTAGTGCCGGACACAGTATTGAAGAAAAATGCACATAAGGTGACGTCAATACGTCACATAATGACTGCATACGTCAATAACTTTGCTTTGAGCAAAATTTTCTACCGCAACAAACACCTTGCTCGAGTTATGTGGATATTGCTGCTTCGCTGTGATTTCAACGAACGTGGGAATTAATCCAATACCAAGCGGAAGTTTTTTAAATTCAATTTATTTCTTCATTACTTCTCTCAAACTTCGATCCGTTGCAGATCACCTGGCTAAGAGCCCAATGGCTTATTGCAGAACAGTACTGCATTGGTTGATGTCGGAAATTCGCAAGACAGTCTCTTTTAGATCTTAAAGATGGGCTAGTACAACTAGGAAATGTTGAATAAGTCTGAGCTTCACTTTTTGCTCAGGTAAATTAGTAGTAACTTATGGTTTCATATCAATCAATTTATGATAGTTTCTTGCCCATATGAGTTCAAAGAAATTACCATCTCTACTTCTTCAGCATTCCGGTATGATTGAATTGTTGTGGTAAGATGAAAATATATCCAAATGATCCAGAAGGTTGGGGCCATGATGCAGCTGCAAAATACGAGGATTAGACGTGTTTAGGGGGAATCGCACATTCATTTTTCTTCACTTTATCACCACTTTCATTCACAAGCAAAAGTGAGTAGCTGATTAAGCTCTGAACTGGCTATCGAGGGTGTTGGTCAATGAATCACTACTTCCATTGCGAGCCGGAGCGACAATCGATCGCCTCGCATTGAAGAGATCTTCGATAGTTCTATGGTAGGCTGTATTTATAATAAATTGCCGTTCATCAAACAGAATTCCATTGAGACCTCCTTCGCGATATCTTGCTGCTCATTTCCGTAGAACGACAAGAGTGTAGGCATACTGAAGTTCAAGCTACTGCTGTCGTGTCAGCCACAGTCGCTATGCGGATGTAACAATAAATCTTTTCCCCAATCGCTGGCCGAAAGTTCGTTGTTGCTTTCGCATAATAAATACGACCAAACCCCTTCCCTCAATAAAGCCTGCGTCATAGCAACCCAGTTTTATTCATGGGAGCGGGCGTATTAATGCCCGTTCAAAATAGCCCAATCAAAGAGAACTAGTACACGAGGGTTCTCTTGCATCCAATGTTCATCACACTTATTGCAAATACCTTACTTCAAACTTTCAATCTCTTCTTGACAAACAGTAGTCAACTAGTTGAGACTAACCCTTTGCAGCGGTTCCGTAATGAAAACAAAAGATAGTCTGATGTAGGCGTCACCGTGCCCGTAGTGTTCGAATTAGTGTCTTCATCCCTCTGATACTACTCTGGAAACTTTTTTAAAATCTACTACGACATACGACCTCCTATGCAAAGATAGGGGTTCTACATTCGTAGCTGGATCCTATCTAGACTTATGATCCCTGTCCTTACATAGAAAGGAAATCGAAAAAGATGGAGCGAGTCACGATCTTCAAGCGATGTTGGTTTATCGACATTAGGTGCCATAATAGCTGCACTAACACCTTTTATTGTGGAATTATTGCGTTATTACCACAAAGAGAAAGAAAATAATCAGGATAGCCGAACAAGTGAAAAGAACGGAACGTAAGGAAGAAGCTGAAATTACTCCAACAGCTGTTCAGAACATTAATGGAATAGAAATTCTTTAATGCGACTTTAGTCGAAGCGCTCATGATTTTTTTCAGATTTTCATTTTGCAGATGCTGAACTGAGAAAACTAAAAATTGTAATGATAATGTTTCCTTGGATGTGGAGCGAAAGAGTGTGGGGATTTCCGTAGTGCCTAGGTGTGAACTAGCACAATTTTCGCGGCAGTCACGCTTCTATAAAAATTAGAGCTGTAAGTGAAGGAATGTACTGCCGTGGCTGAGCTTTGGATTTAATGTGAGCCGAAGCTCTATCGCGAAGAATTTACTCATCGGTATTCGCCCACTACAACCGAGAAGACTACAGATTATTCATGTCAACTCTAGTGCTAAACAAGTTAACAGTTTTAAAGCTATGACATGACATCTCTTGCTGCCGGTTTCTCGAGTTTTCAAAGGCACAGTTCACGATAGTTTTGGGTAATCCAGTTTATGATGAAGAATGGAAGACAAGATCGAAATTAAGCGGTGAAGGTTAAGAAAGTTCGTGAATCGGTGTTTCCAAAGTGAGAAAAGGCTTCAAAGAACTGTTAAAAAGGGGGCTGGACGAGAATGAGACCAGAAAAATCAAGAAGAGTGGGGCGTTTGGACGTGCTATACAATGTGTTTCACTACGTGCATATGGATCCTGGTGCGAATAACAGACAATAACAGAAAAATTCATTCACTTATGAGCATAAGTAAACAAAAAACCCTAGTAACAGCGGAAGTAGCTCACCTTTTTCAACCTCTAGGAGTAGAAAATTAAGTAAGGGATCGAGCAGCAAAAAGAATAACGGAGGAAAAAAAGAATAGGAAAAAAACATCGCCTCAACACTCGGCGATCAGCAGATTGTGTATGGGTCCTAGAACGAATAGTTGCTTTCTGTATTGTCTTGACACTCGTCTAACCTGAAATCGATCAAGGGGCGTTAAAGGTAACCTTTTTTATTGTAAACCGTTCCCCTTAAACACACAGTTCACGATAATCTTGAGGTACCCCTTTTTAGTCAAAGAGCGGAAGTATAGGTTGGAAGTAGTCCACTGGTAGTTAAGAAAGCGGAGAAATTCGTTTATTTTGAGACAAATAAGGCTCCTCAAAGGTTGGGAAAATCGAGGCTGGACGAGTTTATCATGACGTTCATAATATGGAAGGGATGTTCGGACGAGATTCCTGTTGTTGCAAATGCGCAAAGAACTGACTACATCAAGTCAGAACTGTACAGATCTACCTTTCACTGCCGCTATGGGTCATGACAAGTGGTTTGAATTTCCTACAAGGGTTCCTTTGTGAGCTGGGCAGCCTCTACATTGGTGGTGAAACTCGTACGAGGTTGCACACGAGCCAATATATGAGCTTTTATAACGCCCTAACTAGGCCATTTTCCGACATGATAGTGCCAGATATGGTATAGAGAGGTTTTCAAATTTATCCTATGGGGAAATCCCAGGAACCATTTTTATCGTGAACTGTGCCTTTAAATAGATTGTGGACATTACATGGTCCCCTCCACACCGGCTCGAGAAACTCCCGTAAAGGAGCTAAATCGGTTGAAAAACACGACGCCGCAGATACCCGACAAACAACTGTCGAGTTTGAGTTTTCGGGGTTGTACAACGAAAGTCGAGAGCTTTGCCTGTAAGGCTTTCACGGCTGAGACCCGGGTCCTCATGCGTTAATGGTATTGGAAGGAGCACCTAGGCATGAAGAAGAGGCGTCCAAGCAGTGTGGAAAAAAATGCGTCTAACTACTTCCGCGATATCGAATGCAACAAGCACGTTCCAAAAAGGTTGAAGGAAATCGTGCCCTGTGATACCTCCATTTCAGGGATAGAGATTATGCAGTCAGAATTCCCAGATCTCATTATTTCCTACATTACGCTGTATAGGAAATCCCAAGTTTCACATAACAGTGCACGCGGAGCAACCTGATGTTCAATGATTTTTGCCGTTCAACATATTCAGCTATCTTCAATCACTCTCTCCACTGTCTCCTTTCCCTCGCCTTACCCCTGCCCCTCCCCACCTCTCATTTACTGCCTTTGTCTGCGCCACCTATTCAGAGAGTTAATGCAGGTTCATAGGTAATGGGGTTGAGAAGAGCTCAAGCAAGTGGGTGTGGATACTGCCAAGCAGTCCGATCCACTACAGGGCTAGAGCAATAAGTGCATTATTAGTCATATGCATGCAAATATGCAAAGAGCCAAAAACTGGGTGTGATGTGAGTTAAATGAGCTATTTTTCGCGATTTTTTATACAACTCGTGAAAATTTCTCAATTGCGCTGTGAGTACTTAGTACTAGTGGAGGTTCTACAGAAGAATCGCCATTGAAGAAACACCAATGTGAGCAATAATCTCGTGAGTGGCTGATTCTTGTGAGGCAAAAAGCCGTTCAAGTTGCTGATTGTTTTGTGACTTTTCGAGGGCACATGAGGCGTTCCATTGGCTGCTTTCATAGTCCGCCGGCCGGCCGGCGTGCCGGCGGACTATGAAAGCAGCATTAGTGGTACCATTCGTATTGTGTGCGTGTGTATGTGTAAGTTCGTGTGCATGTGCGTTTGTGTGTATGTGTGAGTGTGTATGCGTATGTGTATGTGCATGTATGTGTGGGTGTCTGAACGGAAAATTATAACTCCTAACCCCGTGGACCCATAGCGTTCAAATCCGGTAGGAGTACACTTGGCACGATGGAAACACTTATGATGGGTGGCAAGACCGGGCCCCATTCACAATGGGCGGGGTTTGAGCAAAATTTCATAACTTCGTGTAGCGTAGATGTAGGGGCGCACCATGCGTGAAGTGAGCCTACTTCGATTGAAAACACGCCCTCAAGTTGAATTTGAGGGACTGGACTTAACTCACAAAGTGTGTCTGTATGTCGGTGTGTTTAGCTGTAATTCGATAGCTCTTGTTTGCTTAGACCAGAAATATCAAATTCGGGAGAGTGTAGGCGGCAGGTCATTTCTAACACAAGAAGGAGGAGAGCCCGGCGTTAGCCGGGCGATCCGTCTGGTTAATAACGTTTGGCAATTGTTTAGCCCTA